TTATTAGTAGACGGGAAATTATCTTGTCGTAACGTAGTATAAGAGACTTCCTAAGGTTGCGGAGACTAAAACAAAAGGATAGACGAGAGGGGGAATAACTTAAAATGTTAGCTTACACTGGGACTCTCCTGGTGAACAAACGTTGCTCTCTGGGTCTTATCGATTTCTCTTATGGTATTGTAATTATCCTGGGGGAGCTTCTTTCCTGTTTCGTTTAATCCACTATCGGCCGGCTCGAAGTGTTCTACATCGATAACATCTTCACCTGTGATGTCAATGTAATCATCATTTATAGTACTGACAAGATGGGCGATAGGGAGCTCTTCTTTAGAGGGCCTATTGACATGTTTTGCCCTCTTTGATGCTGGTTCTTGGTCCTGAATAAGCACTATCTCGGTGTTGTCTCGCTTTGAACTTTTGACTGGCTCTCGGAAATAGCGCGGCCGGTCAGGTCCGTCTGTTGTCGGGGTAAATGGTTCTTGAACCTGACCTAGGAACGACCTAGGGTCTCTATTGGGTGTTGGTAACTGATGTCTTCCGGGAAGAATGGCATGAGGCAGTAATGGTCCTCCCGCCAGTCTTGTACTACTAGGTTGGTTGGGACCTAATGAGAAGACCTCGCGACTGTTCCGTCCCTTGATGCTCCTTGTTGTATATATGGATGAGACACCGGCTTGGTTATTGCTCCTGGCGATGATTTCAGATAAGTCTTTACGCTTATGGTTTACTATGGCGACTTGTGGTTTACTGAGACTAGAAATGTTTGTTGGATATATCGTGACCTCTGGATTAGATCGTATTGTTACCGCCTCTTTGGAACTGATTAAGCTGTGTCCGATCGTTCGAGCCTCGCAGAGGTCGCAAATCTGTTCTCCAAGGGCTTCGTCACATTTGATCCGGCGGCTGTTGCGATCGAAGTATCTGCAGAGTGGGACACGTCTGCATTGCTTGGTATGAATGAATTCGAGCACTACCCGGCGGCTTAGATCGTTGATTTGGTACAACCGCTTGGAATCGGACTCTCCGAAATGATCCGGAATAATACAAGGCGCTATATCCTTTGAGGAGGGATCCTTTGCTGGTGCGAGGACGGAGGCTGTCCCAGGGTTCCCAAACCGAGCAACTCTGCCTAAGATTTGGGCTAAGGTCTCTGCGTCGGGAGGGTAATCTTGAATGACGATGACTATGGTATCTGCATCGTAGTTGACTCCTTCGCCGAGGATGGTGGTTCCGAATTGGATATTGCGGGGTTGGCTTGTTACCTCATGGGTTGTGGAGACGTCTTGAGGGGATGCATAACTCTCTATAGGCGTCCAGGCGCAGGGGGCCCTAGCCCACTTATATAAAGCTGCTTTTGCGACCTGGTGTTTGGCCTTGGGTCTATCTGCGTTGTCTGCGCAGTATAGGGTATAACCGAATCTCTCTGCGATCTCTATAGACTTGTGTAGCTTGCCGAGAAGGATTACTAGGACTTTCTCTGGCCTTGGCAGGTGCCTGGTGACTTTGTTGTCTTGGTATATCAGCTTCTCCAGGATTGTATCTCTCTCGATGTCATCGGTATATGTATCGACGGTATACCTGATTTGTAATCGATCGGTTGACGCCCGAAAAACAACGTCTGGGAAGGGCTCTGGACCGTCCTTCTGCAGCCCCTCTTTCACGGCCAGGGCGTCTAGGTATAGTGTTGCGTTTTCCCGGGCTTCTTCTACCGACCGGTAGGCACGCCCGCGTAGAGCTCTGAGCAGACCGACTAGTTGATACTCTCTCACGGGGGCGAATGTTGCAGTGAGAAGGACCCAGCGGGGGATGCTACCGAGCCGATATAGTACGTGGTGGAAAGCAGTCCGGAAAGGTTTGGGTTTATACACTGATCCGAAGAGATTGTGGCACTCATCGAATATGACAGTATCTAATAGTCTGTCGGTTATGAGGCTTGTGATTAGACTGTTGATTTGGCATGGCTTGCCAGCTGCGTTATGGATGGCCTCGGGCGTGGATATTATGACGCGTGTGCTGAGGTGTGAAAACTTCACTGTCCCTTCAGAGAGTTGCGTGGAGGTTACTGCTACTATGCCGGCTGCCTGAGCGCTCTGGAAGGTGCTCTCCAAGAGGGTCGTGAGGGGGACTATAATTAGTGTGACCCCAGAGTCCCCAACGACGGCTGGGGCTAAAGCAATTACTGTCTTTCCCGCACCGGTAGGTAATACGATGAAAGATAATGGTCGGTTTTGATTAGCGAACAGAAGAGCCTCCTTCTGACCCGGCTTAAATTTTGCAGGGGCATGGGAACAGAGAGCTTGTAGGAAGGTTTCCGGATGGTCTCGAATCTTCTCGTCCTTCGTCTGTATTCGATAGAGCTGGCGGACCTGGGCATCCATTGACAAGGAGGTTCTGATCTTAACGACGTTGCTCTCGGCATAATGATTGCTTGGTATTAGGCCTAGGCTATAGTCGCAAGAGAAACATAGGGTAGACAAAGTTAGCCTTATACTTGAATAATATTTACTTTAAGAATTAATTTATATATAGGAGGGGATAAGCATTAGTAAAGTTTATGAGACCTACTTTCTAATAAGGCTAGGTGGTAGAGGAAGATGAATAAGGTCCTCACTCAAGACCCAAGAATGCCATATCATGGAGGCGGTAGTATGTCGAGCAATCTTGTCGGCGTCGCGACCGAACATACCCCCAAATGGGGTGATAGCGTATTTGATAAAGGCGATCTTGCTAGAGTGCCCGGCTTGCTGGTGCATTGCTGATAATGTGGAGTTTGGCTTCTCCAGGCTGTCTCGTAATTCGTTCGGCGTAGCTTGGGTTTCAGGGCTGAGAAAACGGGCCCATATCTCCATGATGTGACGAAAAGACCCTATTCCTAACTTGGTATGAAGCTTCTTCTCAAAAAACCTTGAAACAGAAACATAAAACTTCCGGGGGGGAAGGCTTCCTGGGCCGTGCCTTGAAGGACGCGAGGGTATCTTTGCAAGATGATCTTTCCCGGGCTGTACAGATAGAAAACCCTTACTAAGAGGTAAAGAACCAGACGAGGCCCTTTGCATGAGGGCTTGGCGGATACCGGAAAGCTCTGAGTATATACTTGTTACATCCCTACTATCAACGTATTCAGCCGGTTCATTATCCATAGTGACGGTATGTGATTCCTTCCTGGTAGTGGTTATATCCTCTGGCTCATTGTCATCGGTAATATCTTCCCAGATATCAATCTCGTCGCTAGGAGGCTGATTGCTTATTGCATTGTCTGCAGCGGGTGTGCAGCCCGCTAGGATATGCATGAGATCTCGAGGGGGTACAGAGCCCATCATCATGCGAATATCGTTGCTAATGGCCTGTGAAGGAGTTGGCTCCGGACCATGCATTGACAAATACGGACTGTGAATGATGCTGGAATTCGTCTGTTGCTGAAGACATTGAACGAAAGGGAGAATATCAAGAAGATAATACGTAATGATATATGAAAGATATGGCGGATAAAAGTGCCAGGCTGAAGGGGATATCCGGGATCCATTATCTCCCTTGTGGTACCTGATCTCCGTAGCCCAGGCGAGCAGTTTAGGAAACCAAAATATATTACGGCGGCCATTTGTGAGGCAATTAATCATTCGTATGTTTAGGAACTCTGTCCCCCGGCAAGGGGTGCCTCCGAGAAGAAACATTTGGACTAATAGGCGCTCTAAGAAATCGTGCACCTTATGGAAGTACTCAGTAACCACAGCGTGTGATATCGTTAGGCGACCGGAATCCGAATCTGTAAGTATCCAACTAGCTAGCCGTGAATTGCCTTGGAGCATTATGAAAGGGCGTGGAGTAGCCTCGGTTCCAAATGTTTGTGAGAAGGCCGAGACGCCCGGCGTGGAGATATTGTGGTCATCGATGACCTTCGGATGTGGATAACTTAAATCGATATAGTTGTGGAGTTCCGGTATTGAAGACTCAGTGTTTGGGGGTGCTGCAAGGAGTAAAAGTTCGATTAATTCGTAGTGAAGGGCGATAAGTTCCACTCTATTAGCAGCCCGGAGATCATATATATTTAGCTGCATGATGAATTTAGGTATTAGTAAAAGAAAGGTCTCCTGTTTTATGTACTTGGAAACTATTTGATCTATGTTATAACGTACCTCACTATTCGCACCAAAAACAGCAATACAGCCATTATCGCGAAGGGTAGTCGTGGTCATGCCAGGAGTAATCATTGATTCCTCTAGCGCGATGTTTCGGATACGATAAACCCAGACGAAAGCGTTATCTGGTATGTACTCGGTGGTATTATGGAAACCGGTCCGTGATGAGTAGAACATTAGATTCGGCCGGACATATTGATGGTAGGAGAGATTATAACGGTCGTTGGTGATGTTCTGATTCGCTGTTTCCCATGCGCCCCATGTGACAAATACGGCTTTCATACAGGCAATAATGCCTGATAGCCCCTTGCCAGCAACTGTAGGATGTTTGATTCCACTAGGCTCAATGCATAATGCGGCGGCAGCGTTAATCAGCGGACACTGGAACTTGTCCCCACGGACGCTGTCTTCGGCGAGCGCAAGGCTGACGCGGAGGAGCTTGACAAACCATTCATTATCAGGTGTCCCGCCTTCGTTGAGAGGCATTGGGTCATTGTAGGACCCTACCCCAGCGCTGATGAGACCTACCAGGTTTCCAGGTATATTAGGCAGGTCCTGGTAGGCGTGGTATACCAGCAATGCGATAGACTGCTCAATTGACCCACGTTTGAAGGCTGGCGGAGCAGCACCGTCAAACTGGCTATAGTAGCCTCGAGATATACTCTGGGGCCACTTGATTGGTGGTAGGTGGAACTTTGGGGGCTCTACTAGGCCGATATCGATTAAAAAGCGTCGCAATAGATATACTAGGATTTTGTTCCATATATTCAGGTACGAAGTAAGAGTTTCGTCCTTAGAAGGGAAGGCCTGTTTGCCATAAGATGAACTCGATGTAGTTGATTGCTTGACGACGTTTTCTGCATCCATCTTATGGTCCTGAAGATGAATTGTTAGCTTAGAACTAGATTATGTAATAATACTAAAGGGTTTCTTTAGGTTCCTAACTAGAGGATGGAATGTAATGTAAACTCAGTAGAAGGGGGAAAAGCCTAATGTGAAATAATGTATATGGCAAATAAATAACTTACGGGATGCATAAGTGAAACACATGTAAATAGCCTGCTTGACAGGATATATCGGTGGTTTAAGAAGTTTAGGACCGCCGGGTGGTCATCTGTATTCGGCTCTAAAGAAAGCAATCGACAAAACTCTGTGAGATCAACACCATTAACGAAGTCGCTAAGACTAGCTCGCTTCTCGAATTGCGACGAGATATCGACATTTGGGGCACTCTGCTGAAAGGTTTGAGGCATTTCCTTCACCCTAAACTGACTGGATAAGGTTTCCCAGGCGTTGTTAGTGTTCGGCGGGTTTGGACCTTCTATCGTGGGACTCTCTGTGCTTGTCTCGTTATTTACGTTTCCCTCGCCTGGGCTTGTAGGGAGACATTTTGTGGTTTCACTATCGAGGTGATTTGGTGGATCTACTCGAACGAAACACCTGCTGAATTCATGGGACTTTACATTGGTTGTTGCTAGGACCCTCTGAAAGTAAATCTTGATATACCTTGTGGATTGTGACTGAACTTCGATTGTTGATTCTGAGTTGGTGACTGGATGCGAGGGTGCTGCTTTATACCTTTCTCTAATAACAGGGTAAATTTTAGTAATTCAATATTATACCGTCCGTGTTAAAGTATAGACTATATTAGTGATAAAAGAACTATGAGACTTTCTTACCGGTGGAAATTGTCATGGCGGGTAAGGTCTTTCGGCTTTTCTAAGCCGTCCTTGATCTTTAAAGATGTAATATTGGAATTACATTGAAGGCAAAACCATTTGTATGCTACTGATACAGCCTGTCCATCTGGCTTTTCCGGGAGCATTTCCATACAGGGAGGACCAGTCGAGATTGAAAATGGAGGTAAATCGCGGAGGCCACGGTTCCGGAGGCATACCCCAGCTTGTTGCGTAAGGTACGCTTCAATATCTGACAGTTCTTCTTGTTCTACATGGAGATCATGATTGGCAACTAAATGATCAAGAACCTGTTTAATATAAGTTGTTAATTTAACATATATAAGCTTAAATATTATAGTAAATAATTATATAGGGGAAACACAAACAAACCTCTTGGAAAGATCTAAACTCTTCAAATGGGTCGCCTTGGAACTGTAAAGCAAGAAGCACCTTCCTGCAAGTACGGCAATAGAACTGACCAGGCATTAATCCGGGCCAAAATCCAATGTGTGCTTTAAGGATTGCCCTTTGGGCTAGACTGAAATGTGTCTTCATGGTACTTGTGCTTTGAAGGAATAAAATAAGAGTATGAAAGGTATTTTTTACTTCCGTGGGAAGGAAGCTATAGGGATGTAAATAAAATTGACTATGGTAATGTCCTAATGGAGGTTGACGAACTTCTTTTGGCTCAATAGAATAAAAGGAAAGAACTAATAATTATTTAAAAATAGGAGATCTCTTATATTATTAAGGGACGGTGTGACGTACCTTACTGATTGTGTGCATGATTTCTCTGCAAGAAATCATGACCTTGAAATAAGGACATAAATAGATTAAAAGGCGTGACTACGTACTTTTGGGGATTTTGTTTCATACTGGATGGTTAATGATACGCTTAGTATCGCAAGGGATGGGACTGAAACGGGTGTGTAGTAATCTTACTTTGCTTGCTTTCTTTGTGGTGACGAATAAATTCTTTGCTACTTGATAACTCTGTATTTTATTATCTGTGTTTGCAGAAGATGATATTACACGTTTTGAAACTTACTAAACTAATCCTTTAGTATATTAGGAATTTAAGTAACTATAAGAGTACTTCTAAATATTTCTTTTATATGGAATTCTCTAGTGTCTGAGAGAGAATACCTACTATAAAGGTAGAGATACTATATAGGGATACTAGGATGAAACGACTTTTACATCTTGACTAATTATTCCACCCTTTTTATGCGATATGAAATAAGCATATGTAATTCATTTATGGTGAGTGTATCTGTGTACACCCGGAGTAGGCTCGTGGGAGATGATTCAGAATATCGTATGATACGTAGTTCCTATGCACCTAAGCTTTAGCGTCATGATTTTTGTGAATTTCTGATCCCTCTTCGCGGTTCTTCTGAGGTATCCTGTCACGCAGTCAATTTGCCCACCACTTATGTGGTAAAAAAAGATGCTTCCATTCCTTAGAGACTGTCTAGGGGTTATTGGGTTGATTATATAACCGTCTATTCGGTAATTACCGATTTGAAGGTTTTCATGCACAAAATGACATCCCCGTTAGTTTTATATGGGAAACAATAGCCGGGTGCATGGGTTGAATGCATGCCCCGATATATGCAGTGGTCCGTGTGACACACCCCCTCAGAGAGGCAACCTGTTGTAGGTTGATTCTCTGTATTCTCATTCAAATACAGAAATGATACTATTCAGAACTCCGTATACTTACTACCAAATTCCAGATTCATACTGCGTTCTTCTCGATCAAATGTTCAATATTCGCCATACCCAATTGGGCGATAAAGTGGTTGTGTTTTTGGGCTGGCATTGCTTTAGTCATACCGTCTGCCACCATTTCGTTGGTTGGAACCCATTGAAAGTCAATTGATCCCTTCTGTAATTCCTGGCGAAGCCATAAGTTGTTGATATTGATATGGCGTAATTTGCTAGTCGCTTGGGGTCTTTCAGCAATCAATAGTCGAAGAGTTTGCTTATTGTCGCATTGCATGATGTATTTATCATCTAATTGGAGATTCAATTGTTCCATGAGTCGAATGGTTGCCATATATTCTCTTGTGGCTGCTGTCAAAGCAGCAAGCTCAGCTTCTGTGCTTGAAGTGACTACTCTTCGTTGTTTGACTGCTTTCCAATGAATTGGACCTCCGAATAGCATCATCACATATCCTTGAGTGCTTTTTCGAGTGACAGAGTCATCAGCGAATGAAGCGTCTGAGGCGCAGTAGAGGACTCCTTCCCCTTTGCAGTTGAACTCGATAGCGAGGTATTTGTTGTCCTCAAGATATTGTAAGCATTCATATGCTGCTTTCTGGTGTTCAGAAGATGGATTTGATAGGAATTCTGCTAGTCTCGAGCTTGTTCGAGCTATATCTGGTCTGCCAATCACTCCAGCATAGTTGATTGATCCAACCTTCCGTTGATAGTAGTTGATTTCCTCTGGCGTAGCCTGACCAGGACTTGGGACCAGGTTATCTATTGCCATAGGTGTTTGGCGTCGCTTGGTTGAGGTTCTGATCTTGAATTCTTCAGTGACCTTAGATATATAGTTGTCGAGACTCATCCATAGTTGACGGGTTTTTCGTTCTCTTATTATTCTGACTCCTAGGAAGATACTCAATTCTCCCATATCTTTCATTTCATACTCCTTTTTGAGTTGTTGAACTGCTTCTTTTACTTTGGTTTCATGCTTTTTATGGTATATAACCCCAATATCGTCCACAAAGTGGAATACTATGAAGTATTGATTGGTGTAGATACAGTCATCTTCTTGGAGTGGGATAAGGCCAAGCTTCTTGAATGATCTCTCCAGATTCTTTTGCCATAGCAGTGGGCTTCGTCTCAATCCATATAGTGCTTTTCGCAGGGCAAGACAGTATCCCTCTTGTCTGAATCCTGGAGGAAACCAAACATAGACTTCCTCATCAATTGTGGCATGTGTAAATGCGTTGACTGCGTCCAATTGAAGAGTCTCTAAGTCAAATCTCGCCACAATTGCCATGAGACTTCGCAGCGATATACCAGCAAGCGTTGAGGCATAGGTCTCTAGTTCATTTGTCGGTTGGAGATCTCCTCGAACACAGATCCTCGCTTTGAACTTCTTGAGATATCCTTTGCTGCCCTTATATGTGAATACCCACTTCAATGGGATAATTCGCTGAGTGTCTTGATCAATATTGCCAAGATCAATCATTTCAAACGTGCCCATTTGCCATAGTGATCTGTTCTCAATATTCATTGCAGCAATCCATTTGTGACTGTATTGGTGTTTGATCGCTTCACTGTAATTCTTTGGAACTGGTGGAAGTGTCTTTTGGTGTGGATTGCCTAAATCATCTGCTGATGCATCCCATTGATCTCTTCCTTTTACTGTATCCGTAGATTGCAGTGTGAAGTGGGATTCTCTTGCTCTTCTCAGTCTTTGTGATGATCTTGTTGCTTCTGGTGGCTGTTGATTTGTTTGACCAAGAGGGGCTGATCGATTGTAGATGTTGTGATTTCTGCTGCCACGAGGTCTTCCCCTTCTCGCTATGTTTGGGATTACTGTGGAGGAATCTTGTGGTATGATTTCTTCTGGTTCCAATTCTATGACTGGTGTCTGTTGTAGTTCGAGTCGGTCTGTTGAGGTTTCCTCTATGGTCTCACTTTGATCCGATTGTTCTGGAGTTGGCGATACTTCTGGAGTTTCTGGAGTCTCCCTCACCCCCTCAGTTGTTTGAGAATCTGACAGCTGTACTGTTGGTGATAGAGAAGTGGGTGTAGGTAATTGAAAATCCCCTGATTCTTTCTCCTGCATCGGTGTTGCCGGTGTTGTTTCTTGAGCGGCTGGATTCGAGGCGGGTAGTGGCCCGGTAATATTATCGCTGAAATCTTCTCCATCCCAGCCAGCTGTGTCTAGGTCTTGTTCAATTGGATTTGTGAATGGGATATCCATTTCTGTGAACTGGAATTCAAGTTCCATTTGGCTTAACTTGCTGGTATCCTCAATCCTTGGATCATACAGCGTGTTTTCGTCGAAAGTAACGTCTCTAGTTCTCATGACTTTTCCTATTGCTGGGATCCAGATTCTGTAGATATTTGTGCTGTCATAACCACATAGATAGCCAATATGAGCTCTTGGCGCAGTTTTGTTTGACTTTTCTATTCCTCTCTTGTAGTTTTGTGTCAAGGGGTAAG